ACACCCCCCACCTGGATGTGAACCGCCAGGAGAGCCAAACCCCGAGAACTCAGCAGACGAGTCACCCGAAGTGACCAGCCCCAAAGAGCCATGGATCACATCGAACCCCACTCATTTCAGGCAACGAACCGGCAGGCATTCGGGAGCAGTCCGAATCGTCGATCCGCGGGCAACCAGAACCCTCCAAAGCATAAACCAAACCACCGCGAACTCCCGCACCGTGCTGTGGGCCTGACGGAAGGACGGACCAAACCACCCTTGGCCAGCCAGGTGAGCACTGATCACAAAGCCCCAGCCGAAAGACGACGTGTCCATGAACACATTGAGCGAGGGCTCGGGTAGGCACCAAGGAACTGAAAAAAAATCTGAAGAGGAAGCCGGTGACGCAGCAGCCGATGCAAGGCCCCCCCGTGGGTTGAACCCAGCGATCGCGAGAGAGGCGGAAGGGACGTCCCCGAAGGAACCAGAACAGCCAACAAAGCCAAAGTTCAGGCAAAGTATCATCACAAAGTTCAGGCTCCCTCACAGACCCTCGAGCAACCGCCGGGTGACCCGGGAGCCCCCCAGAAACAAGTTCCTGGTGAATGGACTTCCGCCCGTTCACCAGGAACCTGAACCTGCCTAGCTGGGAAAGCACCAAACCCCTGGCATGCAGACACGTGGACCGACTGGGAGCCCAAGTCAGCCAGTCGTCGATATAAGCCAACACTGGAACACCGAACAGATGCAGACGGGCCACCACGACCTAGGTGAGGCGTGTGAACACACGAGGTCCCAGAGTCAACCCGAAAGGGAGACAACGAAAACGGTAACTCTGATGACTCAAAATAAAACTGAGCCAGTCCCTGAGCCCCAGATGATGTGCCAATACATGTCCTTGAGGTCCAGGGACACTAAGCACCCGGCTCCAACAGAAGCCGGACCTGGGACAGAGTGGTCATCCGAAAGAAGGGGCAAAAAAAACCAGGGGTTCAGACGGGATAAGTCCAGAATGAACCCCAGGTCCGCACAGTCCTTTTTTTTGAACTGGAAACAGGCGGGAAACCCACCTCAGGGACGTCGTCAGTTCGACCACGCCCAAGTGCACCCACTCCAAGACGACCTGAAAAGAGAGCAGAAGAGGTCTGCCCTGCCAGCCCCAAACCCCCCGAAGGGGGGAGGAGCCACCGAAGGCCACAAGAAACAATCCAAAAAGCCCACGAATCGTGGGACCAGGCATGAGCAAACAGAGCAAGCTTCCCCTCCCCCCCCCCAATCGCCCCATCAATGGGGCGAAAGGGCCGACGCCCCATACATGAACCCGACCTGCGCACTGATCGAGCACCACGCCGACCAGGCGCAGCCGGGACCGAAGGTAGCTCCAGCTCTGAAACTGGCACCTGTGGCCCCACCTCAACAACCGGAACAGCGGGCCCTGGCACGACCTCTCCGGAAGGAACCCTCTCGGGACCCACGGAGAACCAACAAGTCAGACATAGGGTGGCAGCTAGAGGAAGCCACTTACATATATTGTTTGACTGCAGAAACCACAAATAAGGACAAAAAAGCGAAGACAATCTAAGAGCCAGGGCCCAAGCGGATTCCAAGGAGGAAGCAAGTACCATCTGCCGACATCCGAGGCGCACAGCGAAAAGCCGCAATGGTGCATTCCGGCGCAAACAACTTCAAAAGTGCAGACGACGCCCGAGCAGCCGAAGCCAAGGCACTAGATCCAGGAATGGCCCCAAGTGCCTCTACAGCCTCCGTAAGCCAATCGAACAACAGCTCAAGGAGGGAAAGGAAATGCAGGACCGAAGGCAACGAGCCCCGAGTGCGCAAGTCCTCAGCCATAAGTGCAGCCAACAGGGAGGGAACCTGCACATGAAGCTGAACCGCGCCAGCATCCTGCAGAAGAGCCGGAGCGAAAAGGCACTCATTAAAGTGTGCAAAATCGCCCCCCGGGTAAACCTGGACCACAGTCAATTTCACACGCCATTCAAGTGTGCGGGTACAACAGAAGGTGTCCCAAGTATCCAGCGAAAAAACATAGGGCAAGCCAGTACGACTCTGGAACCTCATAATGAACCCAGTATGGAGACGAAGACCCAAACGTAAAGGAAGACGTATCCATTATAGAGGCATACACTGGGTCATGCAGGAGGTAAGCTGCAATGGCCGTCCGCACCTCATCCGGAGAGTTCCAGGAAGCTGAAAACCTCTGGAAGGACGGAACCGAAGGACCCACAGGGACATTGAACCAAACCTGGGAAAAAGCCAAACCCAAATCCAACTCGTACGCAGAGAAGAGGAAAGGAAAACCCCACTCCTTGTAACAACAAGCCCCGCTCGGAGAGCCAAAAAACACAGGCGGAGTCCAACGGGGCCCAAGGCCCCCAAGTCAGCTTCTTCCCAACCTCGGGAACCTCTATGTCAGGCCCCGGGGGTGAGTCGTCCTCCAAAGCCCCGGCCTCACCAGAAAAAGCCGGGGCGGCCAGAAGAGTAGGAAGAGGATGGGCCCACTGGTCAGACCTCATAGCCACGGCTGGAAGAACTGACTCGAATGCCTCCGTAGCCACCCTAGAAGGGGCAACCCCAGAAACTGCCCGAGTCTCACAAACCTCTAAACCCTGCCCCGACCCTGAAGCCCTCAGACGCTTAGGAGCCGGAAGCAAGGAAAGGGGGGGGAGGGGGTTATCTGGAGATGATTTCAGGGCTTTAGTGTCCCCACGGCCCGGTCCTCGGCCAGGCCTCCACCCCCAGGAAACAGCCCGTGACAGCTGACTAACACCCAGGTACCTATTTTACTGCTAGGTAACAGGGGCATAGGGTGAAAGAAACTCTGCCCATTGTTTCTCGCCGGCGCCTGGGATCGAACCCAGGACCACAAGTCCAGCGTGCTGTCCGCTCGGCCGACCGGCTCCCCAAACAACAGCCGGTGGGGGGGGGGGGAACAAATGAACCACAGCAGGGGGAAGAGTGAGGGGGCATGGACAGAACTAAGGCCGAAGCGACCAACACCCCACAAGTCCGGGTTACCTACCTTGAGGTTACCTTGAGGTGTTTCCGGGGCTTAGCATCCCCGAGGCCTGGTCAACGACCAGGCCTCGTCGTTGCTGGACTGCTCAAGCAGGCTGTTGGACGCGGCTGCTCGCAGCCTGAAGTATGAGTCACAGCCTGGCTGATCAGGTATTCTTTGGAGGTGCTTATCGAGTTCTCTCGAACACTGTGAGGGGTTGGCCAGTTATGCCCCTCATGTGTAGTGGAACTGTCTTAAACAGTCTCGGGCCTCTGATGTTGATAGCGTTCTTTCTCAGAGTACCTATTGCACTTCTGTTCTTCAACGAGGGTATTCTGCCCATCCTGCCATGCCTTCTGGTCTCATGTGATGTTATTTCTGTGTGCAGGTTTGGAACCAGCCCCTCTACTATTTTCTATGTGTAAATTATTATGTATCTATCCCACCTGCGTTCCAGAGAATACAGATTTAATCTCTTTAGTCGGTCCCAGTAGTTCAGATGTTTTACCGAGTGGATTCTAGCAGTAAAGGATCTCTGCACACTCTCCAGGTCAGCAATTTCTCCAGCTTTGAAAGGGGCTGTCATTGTGCAGCAGTACTCCACTCTAGAGAGCACTAGCATCTTGAAAAGTATCATCATTGGTATAGCATCTCTAGTGTGAAAGGTTCTTATTTTCCAACCTGTCATTTTTCTCTCTATAAATACAGAGACTTCTTCCGGGTCCCTATAAACAAAACGGGGCAGCCTCCAGGCATCTGGGGAAGCAACCAACCTAGTGCGCTGCAACAACCTAAACCTATCGTGCAACGTGCGAGCTACCTGCACCCAAATAATGTCATCATCAGATTGGGTGAAGTGAGTCACAAACAAGCAACAAAGCTTGCAGGACTCAGGGTCGAATGTGTCATCGACCCAACAGGCAGCATGACGGAGGCAAAAACAATGAGCGTCACCTTGAGACAAAGGGACAGAGCAACCCTCAAACTCGCAAAAAGCAAGAGGGGACTCGGGTCACATCCATTGGACCCGAGCACCCCCGTGGGGTTTCCCAGAGCCCATAGACTGGGTCTGCTAAGGGTTATCCCAGGCAGGGTACTGCTAACTGCTGCCCAAGCTACCAATCAACATTGCTAATGTTGTCCAAGCACCTGCTAATGCTGAACCCCCAGGACGTGTCCACTCATGAGGGTGAAGCATGGGGTACCACAAAATACAAACAACCCTAATATAAAGGGGAAAGGAACACCAAGGCAGACCCCTGCTCCCGCTACCAGGCAAAAATAAAAATAAAAATAAACCTCGCAAGAGGACAGTGTACCCAGAGGGAACAGAGCTGGCCACTGTTATGGGTGAAAACTAGCTACGCAGTACCCCGTGCCCCTACCAGGGCAATAACTACCACTTACCCCAAGGCAAACTAGGAAGGAAACCCCCCAAAACACTCGGAGTGGTCAATCGCCAAGCAGCAAAAGACCAACAGAGGTAGACCCAAGGTGACTTGTGGAAGGGAACCCCCAAGCCCCTAGGGTGGCACTCAGGGAAGGTGACCCTAAGCACATGCAGCTCGAGTACCTGTGAATATTACTCCCAGCTCGCATACCACCGTAAGAGCAGTACTGAGGAGAGGACAGCACAACAAAAGTCCGGAGCTGTAGCCACAACAACCAAGCCGTATCCCATTAGCCGAAAAACTGCGGTGTGGATCGCCGGCACAGGGGTCTGGGGCTCCCCCTTCCCCCTCCTGGTGAGGGGTAAGGTGGAGCCACTATACTAGGGGTGAAGATCATCTGAAAAAATCTGATATGCTAGCAGTGATCTGGATGGATGCATGGCCCATCATGAACTAGTGAAGCAGCCAAGGGTACATTTCTCAGAAATGCACATGATTCAGCATTATAGTTCAGCCATATTCTATAGGAAAACCTTCCCTTCTTTAAGTATTATTTAAGAGTGCTGTACTGTATGAATTACATCTTAATTTATTTAATTTACATTAATACTAACCAGTTTGGGACGTCTACAAAGAGGGACACCAAGTAAGGCCAGTGTGTGAAGGAAGTGGTAGCGGTTGGCAGTCTCATATACCTGCTTCAATTCCTCTGGATATTCTCGTCGGTAAAACACTGAAGGAATCAGAACTTTATTAAAATGACATTATAAATACCAGCTTCTTACATGACTTTTTGAAATACTGTGTGGTTCATGAACTACCAGTCATTTCATTACTTGAAACATTTTCATATATAGTACAGTACTGAATTCTTTCTTTAAATGCCAATAGGAAAATTAACTTCCCTACACACCATTCTGCCAACTACCTGTTTTGGGACTTGCAAACAAAAACTTAGATTGCCAGCAAAACTGGCTGTTACTCATTCAAGTAGAGAATATGTACGGTTTGTATAATCTAGAGGCTATAATTGGCTTAGAACCTGTTTATCCATCAGAGATTTAGTTAATCAAGGGCTGGATAACTGGGCGTTTTCTTTATTTACACAACAAAAATTTAAACATATTCACAATGAACTACTTATACACGATGACTAAACCACAAACCAGAAGATGAGGAGACAATGACGTTTCGATCCGTTCTGGACCATTATCAAGTCAATTATATTTATACACACTGCACTATAGTTTGCTGTCTACTCACCATGAGCACCATATGCACCAAGGGCAACAGCAGTAGCGCCTGAAATTCCAGCAATGCGCACAAACCATCGTGCATATGAAGGAATGTTCAGCATATCCCCAGTTGCAATTTCTACAACTTTTGTTGCTGCTTTACCGTTGATACTCTGAAATTCAGAGAACAAAATATGTACATGATTTACATGTTTTGTTTAAATATAAATTAAAACAGTGATCAATAGCCACTATAATTTCTTAAAATTTTTAATAACTTCATTTTAATAAAATCTAATTACTCATACAAAATGACAGGTACTGTACATTTATATACATGCAAGTACCAGTATAAACAAAAATACAGTACAATATAAGCAATAAATCATTTTCACTTATGCACCTTCTTGCTACATGCTTGACCTGATTCACGGCCGAGAGTTGTGAACCATTGAGGAACGTCTCCGGGCCTATCTGCTGAATGGGGTAAAACTGCAGAAAATGATGCAGGTTCAGACTACAGGTCCAAAGGGACAGAAACTATTCTCTGCAATAAACCTGGAGCAACAACTGAACCAGAGGGAAGAGAGAGAAAACCTCATCCTGCTTGATACCTGCTTGATGGGGTTCTGGGAGTTCTTCTACTCCCCAAGCCCAGCCTGAGGCCAGGCTTGACTTGTGAGTTTGGTCCACCAGGCTGTTGCTTGGAGCGGCCCGCAGGCCCACATACCCACCACAGCCCGGTTGGTCCGGAACGTCTTTTAGAAAACAGTTTAGTTTCTCTTGAAGATCTCCACAGTTGTTCCGGCAATATTTCTTATAGTCGCTGGGAGGACGTTGAACAACCGTGGACCACAGATGTTTATACTGTACAGTGTTCTCTCATTGTGCCTATGGCACCTCTGCTCTTCACTGGTTCATCGACCAAAGTCCAGCCAAAAGGCATCTACCATGATAGTCTCGCATTCAGTGAATGGGTCATGTAAACTACAAGCTTTCAGTTGCAAGCTGATTCAAAGTGGTCCACTTATGAGCAACTGAACTTCTCACAAAGCCAATGGAACATGTTATCGATGGTCAATTCCATGGCTATGGGGCAGAAATGAGATACCTTCTACCAGAACATTGGACACATCACCCGAACATAACCATGTAGGAAGCCAAACCCTGAGAACCCACAGAGTCCAATTTCACAAAGGAAAAGACTGAAGAGATCCCCCCTTGATTCAGATAATAAACCAAACCATGGAGCCCACCAGAAGGTGAAGCAACTACAGAGTGCACCAACCTCGAATTCATGTATGGTGTTGTGTGCCCAGTTCAAAAAGACCCACCCAACATCCTTGAGTGGATAGGTGAGTGCTGATCACAAACTCCCAACCCAGGGCAGAAGCATCCATGAAGAGGTCAAGCATGGGTAAGTCAGAAACATGGGACAACCCCAAAATGCCAGAAGAGAAAACTGGCAAACCAAAAGATATCAAATGGCCCATGGAGCCTACACTCAACAGTCCTGTGGTAAAAGGGACTAAACTAAAGAAAATGTTAGAGTTCAGAGCCAAACCGTGTTCAGAAAATAAACCACACGAGCAAAGTTCAGATTTCTGCATAGCCACTCAAACCAATGATAGTGACTGTGCCACCAGTTAGAAATACTCATCCAAATAGTGTATAGAGTGGAGGGGCATAGGTAATTCAATAAAATATTCAATAAAACCTCATTCTTCCTTACATTACATGACATTACAGAATTTAAAAATGAAAATACAGAACAAAGGCACTTTCAATATGAGATGGAACATCAAATGACTGGCACACTTCTTCATTGGGGTAGGAAGAAATAAAGAAGTTGGACCTGATGGAGTTTCACCTTGGGTACTGCAAGAAAGTGCAACTGAGCTGAGCATTCGACTCCAATTGATATTCCAAACATCCTTGTGTACAGGAATCTTAGAAGATACTAGTATATGGAAAAAGGCAAACATAGTACCAATCTATAAAAATGATAGTTGAGAGGAACCTCTAAATTATAGACCCATATCATTAACAAGCATGGAAGTCAAAACACTAGAAAAAATAGTTAAAGCCAAATGGGTTGAAGAATGTAATGATATAATAATGGACAGACAGTATGGTTTTCGAACAGGGAGATCATGTGTAACAAATCTTCTTATTTTTTATGATAGAGCCACAGAAATACTACAGGAAAGAAATGGTTGGGTTGACTGTGTCTATCTGGACCTAAAAAACCAGCGTTGAATGTAATGAAACGCCATTTTCTGGGTGAGCCCCGGAGGTTCCCTGGAGCTTATCGGGCTAATGTATGTTATATTAGACCGGGACATTAGCTAAGGAGTTCAGACCTACCAGGGACCAGTGCCAGAACCTGGCCCCTTTAGAGAGGTTTCAGGGAGCAATAGTCCTGGAAAACCCCCTTGTGGTTGGGGTTTTCCTTATCTGCCATCGACCGGGGTCAGGCACCCAGAAAGGTAGGCATAACAAAACAAACCCCACATGGTAAAGAACTAAAACAAAAAACCAAACAGAGAGGTAGAAACTCCCTACAATCCCAAGGAAAAAGCAAACATCACACTTTACTGCCACGCCGATTGTCCGCGCAGTCCTCCCCGCCCCGTGAGGGGGAGTGGGGAGCCCCGGACCTACCACGCCGGCTGCCTAGCTTCAGTTCGGAAGCTAAGCGTCAACCAATGCAAAAAAAAAAAAACGCCGACCGGTGGGAGGGAAGGTTGCCGGAGAGCCTCCGGGGCTCACCCAGAAAATGGCGTTTCATTACATTCAATGCTGGTTTTCTGTGGGGAGCCCCTACGGCTCCCTGGAGCTTCATACCCAAAGAGAAGGAAAAGAAAGGGCTAACCCAGGAGGCGGCCGCCACAAACTCCGCAAAGCGAAGCCAAGACAACAGGTTGCAACCTGCGACCCAAGGCAACAAGAACGCACATGAGCAGATGCGCATAAAGAATGGGCGGCCAAGAACCTGTGCGGCCCTCAAAACCCTGCGCCCGAAATGAGCCCTATATGTCACCAACACAGCAGCAAAAGCTGCAAACGTCCGAACAGCACGGGCGCAAGGGAAGACCGCAGGCTGGAAGACTGAAAAACTCTGCGGATGACCTGGAAGACCCAAGCCCTGAAAATAGGGAACGAGGGGAACCGGATCAAACCAAAGCGCATCCCCCAGACACGGTACACAGGTAACGGCAAAGAGCGCAACTGGACAACACAGGATGCACCCCCGGCCAAACCAATCAAGCATCAATAACCCAAGAACCCCTCCGGAAAGCAGCCGTCTCGACCGTCGCCAGGACTGAGAGAGGCTGCAAATGTACAAACCTACCACCAGTACCAAAGAGCAGAACCTGAACCGAAGGGGCTACCACAAACTGAGGAGAAGATAAGAAGGCACCTTGATTAAGGACCAGGACAGCTCAGGCGACACATAAGCAGACCGGAGGTGAAACAAAACACGAGAAAGCATACGAAACGGGGCAGATGTGACGTCCACCCCAAACGCAAGACGGAGCAGCTCCGCCAGCGCCGCACAAAACGAGGCGACAGTAAGAAACATCAAATAACTGTAGTCCTGAAAACCAAAGAAAGTACAAGACAACCCGATGTGAAAGAGAAGACAACCTACGAAGAGCAAGAAAAAGTGCATAGAAACACCAGGAACGTCATACTGCCGCCAAGACGAAGCTCTCAGGTGGGAGACCATCAACAAAGCCACCTGATCACCACAGAGATGGTGATACCCACATTAAAATACCAGATGCGAAGAGCCGAGGAGAAGGCCGATCCAGTCACGTACAGGACCGACCCGACCTGCCGAAAGATGCGGAGCCGCGGGAAAACGCCCCGGGTACGGACACCTATCAAGCAGCGTCTGAAAATAAAGCTGGGCCGGTCACCAAGGAACCATAAGGACTGCTCTCGTGGGAATGGGCTGCAACCGAGCCAGAACCCGAAGCAACAGCTGGACCAGGAGAAGAGGAACAGGTACCCCCACCTCGACCAGTCCTGCCGAAAAGCATCCACCGTGAACGCCTCGCAGGCGGGTAAGGGCGCCACATAAAATGGGTGATGCCTAGACCACGCCAACTCGAAGATGTCCATGGCCAGGAAGCCATACGTCCAGCAGCTCCAACAAAATGAGTCAGCGACGACTGGCCAATCCGCGAACAGAAGAATGAACCGAGACAGCTGTCCACCAGGACGCAGGACATACCCCGGACATGAACCTCATGGTTAGCCAAACCCCGAGAATCCAGCAAATGAGTCATTCTAAGGAACCAACCCCAAAGGTCAACACCTAATAGAAACCTTGTGGTTCCGGCAAAGAACCGCCAGAGAACAGTCCGAATGGAGCTGAATGGTAGAGCACCGAGTGACCCAAACCCTCCGAAGCGCAAACCAGACAGCCATGAACTCCCGAACCATGCTGTGAGCCCAATGGACGGACAGACCCCACCATCCCCAGCCGACCTGGTGAGCACTGGTCACAAAGCCCCAGCCGAGAGATGACCCTGCTTGATACCTGCTTGATGAGGTTCTGGGAGTTCTTCTACTCCCCCTTGAGAGTTTGGACCACCAGGCTGTTGCTTGGAGCGGCCCACAGGCCCACATACCCACCACAGCCCGGTTGGTCCGGCACTTCTCTTAGAAAACAGTCTAGTTTTCTCTTGATGTCCACGGTTGTTCCGGCAATATTTCGTATAGTCGCTGGGAGAACGTTGAACAACCGCTCTGTTTATACAGAGTTCTCTGATTGTCCCTATGGCACCTCTGCTCTTCACTGGTTCAATCTTGCATTTTCTTCCATATCATTCACTCCAGTACGTTGTTATTTTACTGTGTAGATTTGGGACCTGGCCCTCCAGTATTTTCCATGTGTATATTATTTGGTATCTCTCTCGTCTCCTTTCTAGAGACTACATTTGTAGAGCTTTGAGACGATCCCAATAATTTAGGCGTTTTATCTCATCTATGCGTGCCGTATATGTTCTCTGTATTCCTTCTATTTCAGCAATCTCTCCTGCTCTGAAGGGGGAAGTGAGTACTGAGCAGTACTCGAGACGGGACAACACAAGTGACTTGAAGAATACAACCATTGTGATGGGATCCCTAGATTTCAAAGTTCTCGTAATCCATCCTATCATTTTTCTGGCTG